AAGTAGTATTGGAAACAAACACAAGTGAATCTTGGTTAAAATCAAGTATACAATTCAGCTATCTGGGAGCCAAAGTGTGTGGGTTTGGGGATAGGAGAGGAGGTTCCTCCAGCCACCGAATTCTATTGGCACATCCTGTGGGCATCACTGTTGTTGAGCTTAGCTCTTTTACAGAGGGAATGGTAAGCGTTAGTTATTCTACTGAAACAGCGAACTGGAAAGAATATTCTTTTTTTTTCTTTTCCCTTTCTGAAATATGACTATAACATCCTTTTCAAACTTACTCTTTGGACGGCTGTTTTTGTTTGTTTGTTTTGTTAGAGTTACTATACACACACCTCTGGTGTTGAGGATCCAATCCATTATTATAGTCATTTTGTGAAGCAAATTCCAAAGATAAACACCTTACCTCAGTTTCCAATAATAATAATAATAATAATAATAATAATAAAAAGCAAAAGCAGAAGTAAAAGCTTGGGAGAAAATGTCTTGGAAAACTTCGTTAAGGATGGATTGAAGTGAGAATGAATAATAAAAGGGGAGGTGGAAACTCATAAAAATTCTAGCCCAGGTATTAAGTGGAAGTGTATTCAGAATGCTGTCAGTGGGTAAATGACATCATGTTTCTCCCATACTCGGGGGCTCCTGGGCTTTATATGCATTTTCATCAGTGTCTTCCTGCCCCCTCCAACCCAGGCTTCCTTTCATTTCTAGACTGAACATCTGNCAGTGGGTAAATGACATCACATTTCTCCCATACTCGGGGGCTCCTGGGCTTTGTATGCATTTTCATCAGTGTCCTCCTGCCCCCTCCAACCCAGGCTTCCTTTCATTTCTAGACTGAACATCTGCATCTAACAGAACAGGTTAAAATGCCAAATTTTACCATCAGAGAACACTGTTTATGGTTTAATTTGCTTGGAAAAAAAATCTTTATTTTCTAGACTTTTGATTCTTAAAATGAAGTATTAACATGTTTTATTGTATAAAGTTAAAGGAATTTTCCTTAAAATCAAGGGAGGGCTGACTGGTGACGCATTTTGTATAGATTTTTTCCTTTTTTATTTTATGTGTAACTTTTCCATGAGGAAAATGTTACAGATTCTAAAACACTTTCTATTTCTTATTAGTCAGCATATTCTTAATAACCTGCTTATCTCGAGGCAGAAATAGTGATTTGCTGGCAATCCTTGGCATTCCTTGGCTTGTAGATGCATCACTCTAACCTCTGCCTTCATTTTCACGTGGCATTCTCCCTGTGTGTGTCTGTCTTTCTGTCTCTTTTCCCCCTTTTTATAAGGGACACTAGTCATAGTGGATTAAGGCCCACCCCAATGACTTTTCTTTAGCTTGATTACCTTTGTTGAAGACCGTACGTCTAAAATAAGATCACATTCTGAAGTACTAGGGGTTAGGACTCCAACCTATCTCTTTGGTAGGACACAATTCCGCGCACAGCACAAGGCATAGTTATTACCACTTGCATTTGAAAACCATTAAAAAAGAAAGAAAAAAAACAAAACACACCTTTCCCAGTTATGTCCCAGAGCAGGGTTGTGTTTTGAATTACCAGTGCTGTGATCAAGCCAGGGTGTCATTCATAGTTTCCTTAAACCAGGTTTGCATAGTTGAGATTTCCTTTAATGAAAACATTGAACAAAGACAGAAACAGGACTAATTCCTTTTTGATTGCTTGATTTAAGAATAGTGAATAAACGCTATGGGAGTTAATAAGCTCCCGTGTTCGCGTGTGTCCTCATTATGTTTACATTTTGGAGACGTGCGCTTTATCAGTAGCGAAGCCATCCTGAGCTACACTGATTATCTGATGCCTCATTTTGCTTTCGTTAATTTCCTTGTGAAGTGATAAGCAGCCTTGAAGTCATGCTACCCTGAGTTTGCATGCGGAGACAGAGTGACGCTGCATTATTGAATACTGTTACCCTTTCTTCTTAAAGTTCATATTTCTACATCGTCTATGGAAATTGCCAAGCTTAATGCTACTCATTACGAGCAGGAAAAGCCCAGGCTGTGAAAGAAGGAGGAGATGGTGGAATATGCAGGGCATGGGTAGAGCAGGCTTGCTGGCAGTGGCATCTATTGAAAATAGTATTTCAGACTTACTGGATGCCTGTGATGAATGCTCTAGTCTAGTAGATTATTTCGTTACTCTTATAACAAGTCTATATAGTAAGGGCAGTGTATTGGTCAAGGCAGGCTAGGTTGTGCTGATAGAGCAAATAATCCTAGAAGTTTATTTTTTATTCCCATAATGTCTGTTGTTGGTCCAGATCACTCTCCAAGGCACTGTTCTGAGTCGGCTCGACATTTAGTTTGCTTTGATATTATCAACAACATATGCTTTGCAGTCTCTGAAGTTAGGGTAGGAGGGGGCTGAGGGTCAAGTGCAATGATCAAGGCCTCCCCTTGGAAAGTGATAGGTGCCATTTCTCATATATTTCATTGCCCCAAACAGGTCATGTCTGTGCCTAATTTTAAGAGGTTTAGGGAACTGCAGTTTTGCTGGTTTCCTAGAATAGAGGGGAGTCAGATGTTGATGTACACTAATATATCTAATTGAGATGACAGAATGTCCCTTTTATAGATGTGGAAACCAGGGTTCAGAGAGGTTGGGTCACCTTCCCAAGGGCATAGTGCTGCTAATGATGGAGCAGCTGATCAACCCAAGGGCTGTTTAAGGTCAAAGACTATGTCCAAGCACTTTGTGTACTTTCCGTAGGAACTGATTCAACTACCTTGCAGATGGTGTGATTCAAATGGTAAAACGAATTGCTCCCAGTTTTTTTTTGTTTTTTTTTTAATTCCTGTGACAGGGATTTAGAGGAGGTGAGGAAAACCAGATGACTGGTGAGTCTTCCATTGAGTCCGGTGTCTAGGAAAACTTTCTGGACCCTTGCTCCTCTGGCCTTTGTGTCTTACACTTCAGGGCAACCTCTGGAGAGGCATTTGAATATTCTCAGTAAAAGAGAGGAGCCAAACAAGTAACAGAAGGATTTTGCATGTATGTGCTTTGCTAGAGGTGAGGTAGAAGGCACAGTCTTGCGATTATTAAAAAGATCATGATGTCAAGTTAGCGTNGCATGTATGTGCTTTGCTAGAGGTGAAGTGGAAGGCACAGTCTTGCGATTATTAAAAAGATCATGATGTCAAGTTAGCGTTATATGGCAATTTATAGTCTACAAAAGATGAGAACAAACTTATGTGTCTCACTGATTGTGACGCCGTATCAGAGATGTGATTGTCAAAGCAGCCAACAGGACCTGAGACTGCATGTGACAGGCACTGACTAGTATGAAGTAGGGATCAACACAGGCCCTGAAGTTAGGTCTGGGCTAACTCCTGGCCCATCACCTAGGCAAATGTCTTTGTCGCTCTTGGGCTCTTCATCGTGAATCAGGAGCATAATGACCTCATAGAATGTTAGCAAAGGATAAATGAGGTAAGGTTAATAAAGCACTGAGCCCAGCGCTGGGTACCCAGGGCCATGCTCAGCAAATGCTGGCTGTTCTTACTATTATTATGATGGTGATTATTGCTGTGAGGGGTTTTCAAGCAAGGCATGTGATCATTAGGCTCTGTGTGCAATGGTAGATCATTGCAGGAATATTACAGTTGCTTGTGGAATATTATAGTCACTATCACTAGAGAGAGTGGAATATATTTTGAGAACTTCAACCAGGATGGAGAAATTACCTTGCACCATCTTATATAGTTTGATGAAGGAACTAGCAAGATATAATGTGGAAAACAGGGACTTGCGGAGGCTCGAGACTGGGGGCAATGAGTGTCTGTGGATCTCTGAAGGGTCATCCCACAAGACAGGCGTTAGTCTGGTTCCTATGGAATTAAGAAGTAGTACAGCCATGGCAGTTACAGGGAAAATGATATCCGTTCATTTAGAGACAAAGCTGTCAACCACAGGGCAGCACTCCCTTGGGAGGTAGTGAGCTTACCGTCATTGGTGGCAATAAGCATTGTTTGAATGGGTACTGGCAAGGTCATGGGGATTCAAGTGTCAGTTGAGTGATTAGAGAAACCCTAAGTGATAAGACTGAGTTTTGTGATTCTAATTCTGTATGCTCAATAGAATTATCCAGAGACGTTTTAAAAAAGATACCAGTGTCTTGGGCCATGCCCTAGACCAATTAAATCAGAATTTCTGGGATTAGACCTCAGCAACAGTATTTTCACAAAGCTTCCTGGTTGGTTTTTCTCTAGTCTATTGTGCAGCAAGTTGGAGAACCACTGCTCTAACCAAAAGTAAGTAGCCCCAGCTGAATATCTTAAAAATATAGGTAATGGACACAGAACTGCAGGAGAGAGGATCACTCGGTGTGAGACAGTAATGAACAGGACAGAGCTTGGCTGGGTTTGGTTTGATTGAGCACCAACTTTTGAGGGGTCCATGGTCAGGCTGAAATGCCTGTTGCAGAATATCCTTTTGGGGAGGGAACACGAACTCTAGATGCTCAGGATTCAACTACAGGCATGTGTCTAATTTCACCCAAAGGAGCTTGCTGTTATTCATGTGCACTGGCTGCTGAGTGATTCATATGGTGCTGGGGGAGATGTGTTCAAATGAAATGTGTGGCTTCTATGTAAAGTAGCTTATTTCTTCCAGGGTACTCCAGCCCACTGACGCAACCTTGCAGAACAGTGCAGATTCTGGGGGGTGTGTGTGTGCATGTGCGTGTGTTGGGATTAGAAGACAGAGCACACAAAGACAAGCATATTTCTAGGGCATGGAGTATGCTTTCACTCTCCTCGACTGCCCTTTATGCCAGGAGCATGAGAATGACCCATTGTCCACTGGCCCTGGAGCTTGGTTGTTCCTAATCTCTGGATGCTCGGTGGCTGAGATGGCCTCCCACCTGGCCAGTGGGCCGCAGTCAGGGAGCCCCGTGAGTCCCAGATTTGTTCCTGTGTGGCTTCTTCCTGCCGATCCCTCATCCTCTGGCATGGCGTTTTCTCCACGACAGTCTGCCCCTGAGCTGCCCTCGCTGCCGCTTTGGTAAAGGCTTGCCACGAAAGAGAGTGACAGCCGCTGGCGAACCCAGGTGTGTGAGCAGCATCAGCAATGGATGAGGCCTCCCCGAGGCTGGACGACGACTGGAAGAAAGGACTTCAGCGAGAAGCGAGCTGGCAGGTAAGTGATGTCCTCGGCTCCAGACGGACCCAAATCTCTCCACTCTTTGAACCCAAGTCTGGGTAATTCCCACCAGTCTGTTTGCAGAAGTGCATTGTCTGCAGGCACATCCGTTTGGGAAAAGTCATCTTTAGTTTCCATTTCTTTTTAAACATGCAGATAAGACTCCAGATGAATTTACTTTAGATTACTGAGCAAGCTAATAGGGTTTTACAAATCTATAGGTGTTGCTAAGTTTATGCTTTCTTACTAAAGGCCCTTGAATGAACAAATTGCAGGTGGATATCAAAGGGAACACACAGATTTGGTTTGTGTGAGTGTAAGTTCATTGCAGCATAAACATTTAATACAACACCTGTCATCACACTTACTTTATGGTGTTGCAGCAACTTGGAATAAGGGCTTGGTTTAACCTATTTTAATGAGTTGACCATTCTTTGGATGCAGCTTGCGTGCCTTTCTTATTTATGCTGAACTCATAATAGCTAGAAGCTCTGTGGCATGCAGAGAGTTCAAGCTAAAGGATTCATTTTGGTGTAGAGGCAGTTTTCATGAAAATATACAAAGTGGTAATGTTTATACGTTATAATACCTATTTCAAATTAGCAAAATTATATGCTCCTGTCTCGTAAACTGCCAACTGAAATCCCTTCCTAAATCCTGTTGAATGGCTTTGATTACACCTCTTCACGTCACACATTACACACCTCTAATGCATATTTTTACGCATCCACTCCTTTGCCACTGAATTAGACAACAATATTGAAGAGCGATGCCAGAGCTCTTTTATTTTTTTCCTTTTAAATGCTGCTGCCTTATGGAAAAAGAACACCGTGCATGAAGCTTTTTCTAACGGGTGGTGGTGGTTAAAGTGAAACTGTGATTTTCCATTGTGTCTGCAGCAGAAAGTTTCGTATAGAAATGGTGATGTGGAATGAGCTGATTTCCAACCTTAATATTTAACAGTAAGTCTCTCTTTTTATAAGAAGAGGGGAACTTTTCATAAGGTGTCTCCTTTGCGGTGGAAATCTCAGCGGAACGTAGTAGTGATGTTGACAGGTGTGTTCTGTTCTGAGCAGTGCGATGTTGAGGAAGGAGTTCAGGAAAACATCCTCTGGCCTGTGGTGCAACGAGAGTCCTCCCGCTCCGAGTGGGAGCCGAAAGGGAGACAGGCAAATCTCTGCATGCCACTGTGAGGGTGTCATGTGAGGTCTCCAGGGGGTCTAAACAAGTATTCAGGTATTTTATGGTGTGTTGATGTGACTTTTGGATTTTTGTCTTTTGTTTACATGTTTTCCTCTAGCAAGTTGGCATCTTATGTGTCCTCTTCACTTCTCAGGAGGCTGAAAGAAGGAAGGATGTGAGGTGATGACTCAGAGAGCTCTGTGAACAAAATATTTAAACTCGAAACATTGATGCACCCTATCAATATGAGCATCCCATGAGCCTGTAGCTTGGTAATTTCCCCAAAGGCAGTTAATGAAAATGCTCTCTGTGCTGCTTGCTTCTGCTTCCCAAGATGTGATCCCGTACAGCTGGTCAACCCCTGGCATTCCCATTGTGGTAACCGAAGCCCTCCCCATAGCTCGTGGAGGCAGTGATTGTGAAAGGGGCATCCTGGTCTCTCATTTGGTCTCCCTGACTCTTGGTAACACATGGCATTGGGTGGAAAGGATGTCACAAGGTGTGGGCTCCAGCTTTGCCTGCCTCTGGCCCTCTAGCCCTCCATCAGGCCTGCCTGTTGTCCCCACTCTCCTGTCACCTGTATTGCCATGCTGGGTCCCACATGCACAGGGTCACCCCATTTCAAGCTGATAATCAATCTGTTCCTAAGGGAAGACAATTTAAATCTGATGGGACTAGTTGAGGGACCTTTGTCATGAGAGTGACTTATTTTGGCCATCCATGGTAGTGATGGAGTTGGGGGAAGTTTTAAAAACCAATTGTGATTGATGCTCATGCTTTAATTTAACTAAGTACTATATTTCTTATTGAAACTGATCCAATACCTTCCTACCTAGCTATAATTGACCAATTACAGTGCCAAGGTTTTTGTTTTTGTTTGTTTGTGTGTATGTGTGTGCTCCCATGCATGCCATCTCCCCAATCTTTCTAAGAAGCCTAGAAGGAAGATATGATCCCCCCCATTTTACAGATGAAGAAATTAAGACTCAAGGAGGTTATATAACCTGTCCAAAGCCATTCAGTATTCAAGTTCAGGCCTGTTTGACTCCAATGCCTGTGCTCTTCTCCCCATTTTGGTTACTGCGCCATCTGAATTGAATTTTATCTCATTTTTTATCTATGGAATAACAGCCATGAGCAGCTGTGATGTGGGCAGGCAGGAAGCAAGAGGAAGAAAGGGAAAAGCATGCCGATCTTCTAATGGAATAATCAGTCTCTGAATCATGAAGACTTTAATAAAATGTTCTTTAATAGCTTATTTTTTAACCCTTACTCCTTACCAGGCACTAAGCTTTATTTCTAATTCACTTAAGTACTCTGACAGAGGGATATGATCTATTGTTATTGTACATATGGGGAAGCAGAGGCTGAGAGGTGTTAGGGAATGTACCCAAGGTCACATAGCTACTAAGGTGTTAAAAAGGGAAATGGACCTGCTTGAACCCAAAGCCTATACTCTTATACAAGGCTGCCTCTTAGAGTGTATTTTCCAATTACATTTCCATCATACATATTTTAACTGTCTCATCTCACAAATGATGTGATGAGATTTGGTCCTTGAGACATTCCTCTGATGGTATTTTTTAAAATAAATTAGGAGTTGGGCAAAAATGCCTTGCTCACCCACTTCTTCAGAATGCATTTTAATTGGATGCCATTTGCCTCAAATGAACCAGCTTACCCATGGAGTTAGAAATGAACTAGATACAACCCTAGAATCCACTGTAAATCTGAAAATACATTTAAGCATATAATTTGCACAGGAGAACCCATAATGGCTGTGTCAACGTTAATGCTCCCACCTTGCAAAGCCCACCTCAGCTCTGGGAGAAGCTCAGGAGTGGAGACGGCAGTGGCTTCTGCCACCAGGTAACCACCTGATGGCTGGCAAACCTACTTAAGGCAGTGCCTTTGCTTCTTTGCTTGTAAAGGAAGGTGCTTATATCCCAGTGAGGCCCTGGAGGGAAGGTGGGAGGAGACTTGATGATGCTTCATTGTTCTGGGCAATTGTCAATTGAAAGACATTATGGAGGGGCAGATGATTCATTTCTGGATGATGTCTGATGTTGGGTTGGTTCCCTTTAAAATGACTGATGTAATTGTAGTGTGGACTAGTCTATCGATATTGTCTGTCTGTGCCTGTCTCCCCCCACAAAATGATGACTCCCTCAAGGACAGAGATGCATTTTGTCTTTGTGTCTCTGCACTTAGCACCGAGCCTGGCACACACTCAGTCCTTGATATTTGCCCAGCTGAAGGGCATCGCAAATCTGATCTGGAAGGAAGCTGAGATGTGATCTGGCCCCGACGTTGCACTTGAAGAACCGAGGCTGAGGGAGGCTGAGTGGTGGCACCGAGTCCCACTGCTGGTTAGTAGGAGCAGGGATGATGTGCTCCCTCTTCAGCCCTCTTTCTTTGTGGTAGATTGCTTCTCTGTAAACTTCCTATGCCTCGACTTTGTCATCTGTAAAGTTGGAACTGGAGTACATTATCCATGCCTGATTATTTATCATTGTACCCCTATCTGGATAGGAGCTATAGCATAAGGTCAAGAATGAGATATAAAGCCAGACTTCTGCATTCTAACCTTGGTGTCATCAGTGTCTAACTATGTAACATTGGGAAAGTTTCTAATCTCTCTGTGCCTCAGTTTTCTCACTATGGCGATAATTATCCTAGCCCCTTATAAGGTTATTGTGAGGACTGCATGAGTTAGTTTGTGGAAAGCACTTAGAAGAGCAATTCAATAAGTACTGTTTAGTGACTATAGCATGCACTGTACATGCTAGCTACTACCCTATGTTATCTATTTAATGAGATCAGCCATATAACGTAGTTTTTTGTTTGTTTTTCTAATACCTACTGTGTGAAAGCACATCCACACTGAAGTGGATGAGAAAGTGATCAGACAAGTGATCCCTGAACTTGAAGTCATGGTGCGTAGAGTATGGTGAGTCATTATAGTTGTAAGATAGTCAAAAAATGCTCCGTGTATCATGGAAGCATTGAGGACTGGCTTCCAGTCTGTCTAAGGGGTCCCATGTAGAGGGTAATACCAGAGCTCATTAAGCAAAGAGAAGGAGTTAAGCCAGACAGATAACCCTTTAAGCCAAGAGAGAGAACATGTCAGAGGCAGGAAGGAGAGAGGTTCTAAAGTATGTGGTGAGCAGCCAGTTGTCCTTTGGGGCTAGCCTTTTGGGGTGATGCAGAAGTGCTGGAGATGAGTCCAAAGAGGTGGCAAGGGGAAAGGTCCTGTATGGTCAGACCAAATAGCTACAAATAGCAGTGGAGAGCTGTAGATAGGTTGTAAGCGGAGACATCAAACATGTTTTAAGAAACATAAGATCATTCTGGCTTTAGTGTGAGGATACATTGGAAGTACAATAAGACTAGAGACCAGAAACCCAGTTAAGAAGCTGGGTAACCCAGCTGGTTCTTAACCCAGTTAAGAACCACTTCAGGTGAGGGCTGGCTAGACCATGGAAACAATGTGGAGACGAAAGGGCAGACTCAGAAATATCTAGAAGATACAGCCTCAGGATTTGGTGAGTGATAGATGCAGTGTATAAGGGTATGGGAAGAATAAAATGACCCCCAGGTTTCTTTTTAGGGTGACTTGGTGAACATAGGTGCCACCATCTGAAAAGAGATAACCAGAGAAGAAGGCGATCTCTGGGCTCATGATAGGGTAGATAATAACTCATAAAATAGTGGATTAGAGGTGAGTTACAAGAAAAACAAATAACATAGATTATTTTTATACCAGGAGGGTAAACAAAACCCTGTGAGGACTTGGAAAGCCCAGAGGAAGTAAT